AAGCCCCAGTAGATAGTTGTATGTCATAGCTGCACATCCTTCTAGTTGCTGTATGTGGGACACGGCCTCAGCATGGCCGGAGAAGCGGTGCGTCAGTGTGCGCCCGGGATCCGAACCCGGGCCGCCAGCAGTGGAGCGCGTGCACTTAACCGCTAAGCCATGGGGCCGGCCCTGGGGCAACTTTTAGTTTTAAAAGAAGACAGTTAAAATATTTTTAGAGGAGAGTTCATGAGCCATTTAGAAGGAAGAAAAAAATTTCAGTTGTAACAGTTTAAATTTGATTTTGAGCATTCTGGCAAGCCAGGCAAAAAAGAAAATGTTTCCAAATATTTCCTTGTTTACTAAAAATAGTTCACATGTTTCTCTGAAAAGGTACTTTTTTTTGAATTTACTATTGCAAAGATGAATTTTGTCTTTAGTTTTATAGAAACCAAAGCAATGTCTTACAAATAAATGGCCGTGTTTTTTAAAAAGTCAGTTCTACGATTTATTCTTGTATTTATTTGCTTGTTATGAGCACAATAAAACAGCATTACATGAAGCTCAGAGAAAAAGATGGGGCAGTAATCTGCAATCCCAACACCTAACACAGCTACTCCCTTTTGGGGGTTTTCCTCCAGTTTTCTTTCTTGTGCTTGTTTTTAGTCATAATGAGCCCACAATTTTATGTCCTCCCCCCTTAACAGTTAACAGTAGCTCCCTGCCAGTTACCATGTTTCCCTGTTGCTTCATAAGTGTCCAGTAAAGGAACATTTTCTCATTTTTTCAACCCTCATTTTTTTTTAACATATGCATTTGATGGGCAGAATATGGTATTTTCTCATTTTAATTTACATGAACATGTTTGAATTTTTAGTGAGTTAACATTTTTTTCAACATTTTAGCCCGTAAATGGCATCTTGGGCAAGCAGCAGCTTGGTTAGTGAAGGTCTACCTTGTTGCACTGACATGCTCTTCTGTTTCTTCTATAGATACCGAGTTTTGGCGATTGGAGACGAAAAAGATCACCTCAGGAAAGAGGATGAACTTAGTAGGCAAGTACTGACATACGGGGTGTGCTTTCCTCAGCTGCTTAATTGAGTTGCCTGCAGCCTAGCACAGGGGTCATCTGGGGCCACATCTAGCCTGCCACCTGATTTTGTAAATAAAGTTTTATTGGAACACAGCCATGTCCCTTCTGTGTCTTACCTCTGCTGCCCTCTTGCTGTAACGTCAGAGTTGAGTGGTTGCCGCAGAGACCATATAGCCCATGAAGACTAAATTATTTATTGTCTGGCCCTTTACGGGAAAAGTCTGCTGGCCCCTAACCTTGCATACCACTGGCGGAGCCTTAAGGTGGTGGAGAGGGTTGGAACTCAGCCCATGAGCTTTGTTAGCAGAACTCTGGTTAGAAAGCTCAGCTTTTTTTTTTCCATCTTGGATAATCAATACTCAGTTTGATTTTAGCTCTATTTCAGTGAGAAGCCGATTCTCTTTGAAGAAAGACTTGTTTAAAATTGGATGAAAAGAAAATAAAAGCACTAACCACATTTGTCAGTTGTTATGAAAACTTGTTTCCAGGTTTTGACACCCTTACCCACTAGACTGTAACTATTTTCCTACAAAAACTGACCAGTTAAAAAACGTCGTTTATTTTGTTTTGGTGTATGAATAGTTTTGGCACTCATGGCACTGTCGTGAGACTGATAACTTTGTTTTAAGGAGAACTGAACCTACCCAAGATGCGCGGCGGCCTGCAGCCCGTGGCCTCATGTTGCTCTCCCCCACCCCCTCTCTTCCAGCGTGGACGACGTCCACTTTCTCGTGCTCCAGAACCTGATGCAGAGCACGCTGGCCCTCTCGGACCGTCAGATGAAGTCCTGCCAGTCGTTTCAGGTGGGTGTCAGAGACCCAGCGTCAGCTTCGCGGTCGCGCTGCGGGACTTGGGGCCCTTCAGAGCCCGGTGCTGTGTGAGGTTTTGCTCATCTCTTCTCAGCTGTGGAGTGTCAGGGGGCCCTCACTCCTTTCATCTTTGAAGTGTGGGTGCAAGGTCCAGGGCCCTCCAAAATCCCTCCCAGTGCTGAGGTTCTGAGGCTCATGTTTAAGACAGAAAATGAGGCAGAAGAGGAACTGAGACGTGACAGAAGAACTGAGACTGTATTGAGCTATACAGCAGAACTTTTCAAGTTCTAACTTACAAGTATCAAAGTGTTCTGATTGTTAGGGATCACCACATGGAAAGCTGCCTTCTGCAGGCAATGAGTCTTATCTATCTCCTGAGAACTGATTAGAACTATAATGCTGCTCTGTTGTGGTTGAATGAGGATGAAACGGGAAGGCAAATCTCGTTTAATTCTACCTTGAGCCTGAGAAGGGGGTGGTATTAATACTCTTACAAATATGGAAACTTGAGGTTCAAAGAAATGATAAAACATGTGCCCAAGATCACGCAGCTCATTCATCAAACCTGAGTCCATGTGGCTCCAAGGCCCCAGCAGGGAAGTCCTAAGAGGGACCTGCTCCCTGCTCCCCAAGCCAGGGCTTCCCTCATTTTTCTTTTTTTTTTTTTTTTTTTGTGAGGAAGATCAGCTCTGAGCTAACATCCATGCTAATCCTCCTCTTTTTTGCTGAGGAAGACCGGCTCTGAGCTAACATCTATTGCCAATCCTCCTCCATTTTTTTTACCAGCCCAGAGCCCCAGTAGATAGTTGTATGTCATAGTTGCACGTGCTTCTAGTTGCTGTATGTGGGACATGGCCTCAGCATGGCCGGAGAAGCGGTGCATCGGTGTGCACCCGGGATCTGAACCCGGGCCGCCAGTAGTGGAGCACGTGCACTTAACCGCTAAGCCACGGGGCCAGCCCCCTCGTTTTTAGTATAAAATCACACAAGTGTATTCCAAGTAGAACCTGTCTGCTTTTCTGTTTAATCTGTAAACCTAAAACTTAGCTCCCATGGCTTACATTGCCAAATCAACCCAGTTTGGAACGTAAGAAAAAAAAAATTAAACAATGGCTGGTGTTATTTCTAATCCCACTGGTCTGTTTACTTGTGATGCCTGGGAGTCAGCTAGAGAGCTCTTTAGCACGTGGATGCCAGGCCCCGCCCCCAGAGATTGCAGTCAAGAATAGAGGGCCTGGGACCCTGACGAGTGCGTGCTGCCCATCCCCAGGGTTCTGATGAAGGCTCCATGGACCACCTTGGGGAAACAATGGTGTAGACTCAGCTTGGGTATGACAAATATTTCCTAGGCGGGTACTTGTTACTTTGGCCACAGGGGAGTTGAGGGGGGCTGAGGGAAATGGAACTATTTTTTTTTTTTTTTTTTTAAGTTTTATTTTTTATTTTTTGTGAGGAAGATCAGCCCTGAGCTAACATCCAGGCCAAGCCTCCTCTTTTTGCTGAGGAAGACCAGCCCTGAGCTAACATCTGTGCCCATCTTTCTCCACTCTACATCGGACGCTGCCACAGCATGGCCTGACAAGCGGTGCGTCGGTGTGCGCCCGGGATCTGAACCTGGGCTGCCAGCAGCAGAGCGCACGCAGTTAACCGCTACGCCACAGGGCTGACCCCGAAATGAAACTATTTAAGGATAACAAGTGGCCAGGTTTAAACATAGTGCTTCAGAGCATCGCCTTAGGCCAAGTGGTTTTGCAGCAGTGGCCAGGCCTCTGCAAACCCAAGACTGAGTGTTAACTCTATCACTTTTTAAAAATTTTTTTTATTGAGGTCACATTGGTTTATAACATTATATAAATTTCAGCTGTACATCATTGTTTTTTGACTTCTGTATAGACTGCATCATGTTCACCACCAAAAGTCTAGTTGCCACCTGTCACCATACAGATGTGCTCCTTCACCCCTTTTACCCTCCCTCAGCCCCTTTCTCCTCTGGTAACTACCAGTCTGTTCTCTGTATCTATGTGTTTGTTTCTCTTCCACCTATGAGTGAAGTCATGCGGAAATTGTCTTTCTCCATCTGACTTATTTCACTTAGAATAATTTCCTCAAGGTCCATCCATGCTGTCACAAATGACAAGATTTCATCTTTTTTTTATGGCTGAGTAGTATTCCATTGTGTGTGTGTGTATGTGTGTGTGTGTGTACCACAGCTTCTTTATCCACTCATCCACTGATGGGCACGTAGGTGGCTTCCACATCTTGGCTATTGTGAATATGCTGCAATGAACATAGAGGTATAAAATCAACATACAAAAATCAATTGTGTTTCTATACACCAACAACAAACTATCAAAAAGAGAAATCAAGAATACAATCCCATTTACAATGGCAACAAAAAGAATAAAATACCTAGGAGTAAATTTAACCAAGGAGGTGAAAGACCTGTACACTGAAAACTATAAGACATTATTGAAAGAAATTGAAGAAGACATGAAGAAATGGAAAGATACTCTGTGCTCATGGATTGGAAGAATTAACATAGTTAAAATGTCCATACTACCTAAAGCAATCTACAGATTCAGTGCAATCCCAATCAGAATCCCAAAGACATTTTTCACATAAATAGAACAAAGAGTCCTAAAATTTATGGAACAATGAAAGACTCCAAATAGCCAAAGCAATCCTGAGTAAAAAGAACAAATCTGGGGGCCAGCCCAGTGGCATAGTGGTTAAGTTCACATGCCCTGCTTCAGCTGCCTGGGGTTCGCGGGTTTGGATCTTGGGTGTGGACCTACGCACCACTTATTGAGCCATGCTGTGGCGGTGTCCCGTATAAAGTAGAGGAAGATGGGCACGGATGTTAGCCTAGGGCCAGTCTTCCTCACAGATGTTAGCTCAGGCCTAATCTTACTCAAAAAAAAAGAACAAATCTGGAGGTATCATACTCCCTGATTTCAAAATATACTACAAAGCTATAGTAATCAAAACAGCTAGGTACTGGCAGGAAAACACACACAGATCCATGGAACAGAATCGAGAGCCCAGAAATAAAACCACACGTCTATGGACAGCTAATCTTCAACAAAGAAGCCAGGAACATACAATGGGGAAAGTCTCTTCAATAAATGGTGCTGGGAAAACTGGACAGCCACATGCAAAAGAATGAAAGTAGACCACATGTCTTGTTTTAGTCCATCACCATGAGGTGCATTGTGTCAGAGAGTCCCGTCATCCGTTCTTGATATACCTTTGCCATGTAGCACTTTAACCCGCTGACTCACTTCAAGTGTATGCCTTTCAGAGAGGGAGGCTGGTCACAGTGCCATGCCCCCTCTGCCACCCCGGCAGTTTACAGATGAAGAGTAAAGCCTTGTCTGAGCCTGAACAGGCAGAGAACAAGGGTAGTCGGGCAGAAGTCCCGAATAGCCAGCTCACAGTCTGACTACTGGATGTTTGGTTGGGCCCACGCTTGTTTAAAAAGAAAAAAAAAACTTTAATTTACTCCCAACATTGCACATAAAAATTTAAATTTTCAACTTTCTACGTGGCTGTAGAGTAGACCTTTCAGCTCTCCTGCCCAGCAGGGGTTAGAGCTGGACAGGACCTCAGGGGTCAGTTCAACCACCCATCACACGAGGAATCCCAGGCCCAAAGTTAATGACAAAAGCCAGGTCCCTGCATCGCAGCCGGGGCCTTGTCCCCTGCCTCATGCCACTGCTTTTCCTTCAGCTCCATTTCCACGTGGCGTCCAGGCTCTGGTGGATGGTGCCACAGGGCTCATCACTCTCCCTGTCCCCTAGGGGAGTGGGAAGTTGCGTGCAGCAAGGCCACCTGGCCCACAGCAGGAAGCAGGGAGCTTCTTCAGTGACTCCCTCCAGTCTGGCAGTGATGACTGGAAGGCCATTAGGGATGAGGTCAGAGGTCATTCAGGACCCCCTAGGCTCCCTTGCAGCCCCAGGCTTCCAAGAAGCACACTGCAGGGAAGTCATGAGCATCCCAGGCGGCCATGGTGCACTGGGTCTGTGACAGCCTAGCCTCTGGGAAATCTGACGGGCTGGACCACGTTCCCCCACTCACTGTGGATGGACTGGGTGCTCCTCTTGCACGTCAGCAGTTGTCTGGGGCTATGTCCATCCTGTAACCGTCTTCACGTGGAGGAGAAGAGCAGGTCACAGAAGGCGTTTCACAAGAAGCTGGATCCCAGCTTCCACTTCCACTTGGGGGGAAGCAATGATGACATACGACTGCTCCCCGCTTCTTTCTGTCTGTGCCATGAGTGTTCCCCTGTCAGGCCTGATAGTCTGTGCCCCCAGGACTGATGTAGAAGTTCTGTCTGGAGAAATCAAGGGTGGTGTGCAGGCCTCGGACCGACGAGACGCAATGTGTGCCCAGACCCCCATCTCCAGCTCTGGGAGAACATGGTGCTGCCCCAGGACCTTGACTGACCACCGCTTTGGCTCGCAGTCCCTCCTGTCCCTCTGCAGTGGCACAGTGGAGGACGAGGCCTTGTTCTCTTCTTGGTCCCACCCCTGCCCAGCAGTGAGGCCTCGGAAGATCACCTAAAATCTGTGAGCCTGTCTCCTCTGTCACTCAGAGGTCCTGGGGTCAGTGTCGCAGAGAACCTTCTAAGCCTAAAATTCTTAGCCCGTGACTGTGGTTTTTGTTGGCCAGTGCTTTTGAGGAGACAGTGTAGCAGAAACTTGCTCAGAGGCTGGCGTATTCTAGACATTCACTAACTGTTGGTTGGTTGGTTGAGCCAACTCTTTTCAGAAAACTGGAGTAACAGAGACCCCTCTGGTCCTGCAGTCCTGTGGGCTGCTCTTCCTCTGGGAAAGGTCCAAATCATGGGCCATGGAGCCGTGGTGGCGTGGCCAGCAGGAGGAGCCTCTGCGGCGGGGCCCCAGACCCACCCTCCACACCTGCTCCAGGCTGGGTACCAGGCTGTACTTACTGTGGCAGCAGTAAAAGTTCTGTTCTCATGGGACTCCCACTCCTGTGGGAGAGATAGACAGCAAATAAACAAATGAGATCATTTCAGGTGGAGACAGTCGCTATGGAGAGAATAAAACAGGATAATGTGTACAGTTGACCGCAGAGGAGTAGGATGGGAAGGATTTGTTTTTTGAGGGGAAATATTTGAGCTGAGAGCTGAATGTTGAGAAGGAGTCAGCCTTGCAAAGATCTGGGGGAGGTGCTTTCCAAGAAATGGGAGTGGCATATGCAGAGGCCGCGAGGAGGTGGGAAGGAAGGCTGTGGCTTTTTCAAGAAAAATGAGAACGGGGCCCGCCCGGTGGCGTAGCCAAGCCATGCTGTGGTGGTGTCCCATATAAAGTGGAGGAAGATGGGCGTGGATGTTAGCCCAGGGCCAGTCTTCCTCAGCAAAAAGAGGAGGATTGGTGACAGATGTTAGCTCAGGGCTGATCTTCCTCACCAAAAAAAAAAGAAAAGAAAAGTGAGAAGGCCAATGAGGCCAGAGCGGGCTGAGCCAGGGGTGCACTTGTAGGAGGCGAGGCCAGTGTGGTGGGCAAGGTACTGCTCACAGGGGTCCTTGTCGGGCATAGTAAGGGCTGAATGTTCTCCCTGTGGAGGGCAGCCATGGGATTTTGAGGTGGGGAAGGAACTTGTGGTATGATTTAGGCATAAGAGGATTACTTTGGCTGCTGTGGCGAATGGTCAAGGGTTGGGGACAGGTGGCAGTGTAGAAGCAGGGAGAGCAGTTAGCTGGAGGCTACGGTGAGAAACGATGGTGGTGTGGACTAGATGGTGGCAGTGTAGACAGCATGAACCAGATGCATTTGGGAACTTAATTTGAAGGAGAGCCAACCAGACATAGTGATGGATTGGGCAAGGGGTTAGAGAGAGAGACGGTGGTACCAGAGATGATTCTGCATTGACTCCTGTTGTCTTCACATCCAAAAAAGAAGGCATGGGGCAGAGCCTTCCTTTCCCTCCAGTTGCCTGTCCTTCCCTGTGGTCTCAGGTGTGATGCGACGGTAGGGGTGAAGGTTGACGGGATTGCTGGCTTCCTCCAGGCTCTCCCCCATCAGACCCCCAGGTGTCTGCTCTGGCCTTCCCGCTCCTCGTCCTGTATCAGTTACTTCCTCCATAGATGATCAGCTGTAGCTTCAGAATCCACACATTCTGGCTGTTTCCCCCAGCCGGCTGGAGAACCTTGCTCACCCACAACTTGCTGTGTTGCAGACTTTCCGCTTGTACCAGGAGTATAAGGACCAGATTCTCGTGAAGGCCTTCATGGAGTACCAGAAAAGGAGCTTGGTCAACCGGCGCCGGGTTAACCACATGCTGGGCCCAAAGAAAAACCGGGCTCTGCCCTTTGTGCCAATGTCCTACCAGTTGTCCCAGACCTACTACAGGTGAGCACCCACCCAGGAGGCCTGGGCCTGGGCTGGGGAAAGGTAGGAACCCCAGGTCAGGGGGTGAGCCAGGCCCGCTCTGCGAAGAGTGGCACACGTGAGTAGAATGAACCAGACATCTGTCATCAGAGAGTGCAAGGCTGGGTCTCCTGTGACCTCGGGTGAGAGGTGCAGCCTTTGGGAACTTGTTTCCTTGTCAACACCTGTCCTTCCTCATGTGGGAATAAGGTTAATGCTTGAGGTGTTCTGCATTGGGGCATTTACCATTTTTGCAGGTAGTTTGTTTCCCTTTTCCTGTCAAATCGGGTAAAATAGGTTTCTTTTTTTCCACCTTTTTTTTTTTTTTTTTTTGAGGAAGATCAGCCCTGAGCTAACATCCATGCTAATCCTGCTCTTTTTTTGCTGACGGAGACCGGCTCTGAGCTAACATCTATTGCCAATCCTCCTCCTTTTTTTTTTTTCTCCCCAAAGCCCCAGTAGATCGTTGTACGTCGTCATAGTTGCACATCCTTCTAGTTGCTGTATGTGGGACGCAGCCTCAGCATGGCTGGAGAAGCGGTGCCTCGGTGGGCGCCCGGGATCTGAACCCGGGCCGCCAGTAGCAGAGCGCGCGCACTTAACCGCTAAGCCATGGGGCCGGCCCTAGGTTTCTAATTTAATAAGTGGTCCAGGGCCGGCCCTATGGCTTGGCGGTT